AAATTTGATACTAATAATAAAAAATTAATGTAATATATTTATTATCATATAAATGAGGCATCAGCAAGAAGAGGCATGTTGCTGAAAATAGTGGGGAAATATTTTCCCTGAATATCAGCAAGAAGAATTATCTTGCTAAATAATGGATATCAGCAACATAGCTATTGTTGCTGAAAATTGAAAGTCAGCAACAAGAGGTATGTTGCTGAAAGGTTGGGGTCTCCCCCCTCCCTTTTTTTAGCAACACAAGCCACGTTGCTGAAAATATGGTTTCAACAACGTGGCTTTGCTTGCTGAAAATGAAGTAACCCAAAACCAACCCTTTTTTACCAACGTGGAGCATGTTGGTGAAAGTACACAATCAGCAACAAGGATTATGTTGCTGAAAAAGGGGAAAACCACTATCCTCTCTACTTTTACCAACATAAGCCACGTTGCTGAAGATAGGGTTTTAGCAACGTGGCTTTTGTTGCTGAAAATGTCACAAAATTTCGGTGTCGGAAAAGAGGGTAGATTTTTTGAAATTTTTACCAACATGAGCCACGTTGCTGAAACTCTATCTTCAGCAACGTGGCCTATGTTGCTAAAGGGGGTGAGACATTTCACCCCCAACTTCCACCGGATTCTGGCCAGCTCTTTCAACAACATGAGATAGGTTGCTGATACTATATTTTCAGCAACATAGATCATGTTGCTGATGTATCAGCAACAAGAGTTTGGTTGGTAATGTATTACCCACCAAGCCTTCTCCAACAAGGCTTTCAGCAAGCAAATCCATGTTGCCGAAGGGCTTTCAGCAACATGGGAACCACTTTCAGCAACATGTCCATGTTGCTGAAGCTAAGCATTTTAGTAGTGTAATGAAAATTTTAAGTTATTAATAATTTTATCTCAATTAAAAAAATCAATACCTAAAATAAAATTTCAAAAACTTTCAATATAATTTAATATAAAATTAATTCCTTGAGATTGATCTTTTGAATTGGGAAGAAGGTTTGTTCACAATTGAAAAACTCCTAGTGAATGAAGCTTGGTTTCAATTGTGGAGAAGGTTTCAGATATAAAATCAATGCATCTAACATACTTTAAGCTTTTCTTTATACAAAATATTAGTAGACTATACATGTTGTTCTTAATTGAGGCGGGATTAGGCTTTTTTTTTATATAAAGTGTTACTAAGCTCTACCTTTTATTCATAGGCGATGTGGGATATTTTCATTCCACAATTTCATTCACGTATCAATAGAAGAATAAAAGATTTATCAAATGAAAACAAAAAAGAACTCATCAAATTATATGTAAACATCAAATTAAATGCAGTTTCACTATGAAGTTGTTGTGGAGGAATGGTTTCCCTATATATGATTATGTGCATGGTAGGTATTCATGGTGCAAGCATGTTGTATGCTTTTACCTATATATATGCTTGAGTTAGGTAACTTTTTATAGAGTTAGTAATAATAAAAGGATCTAATATTAATGTAATTCTATTTGTAAGGGTAAAAGTATTCCTTATACTCTATTTTTAAAATTTGTTGTTAAGAAAAAAAAAAAAACGTCCCTAGAAATGTGTAAAATCTTTGGGTTTGGTATAAAAAATAATTGTATTTCATGACTAGATAGTAATTAGGATATTTGACGGAGTCAGAAGCATTGGCCTTGATTTGCCATGGTTTTTGTAGTATTGGAAGAATAAAAAATTATTTGGGAATGAAAATATAGATATGACACATTTTTTTAATTAATTTAGTCGAAAATTTATATTTTTTGTAAAATTCTTTTTCACTGTTTGTGATGACTATTACCCTCACAAATTTATTAATTTTTTTATTTGTTTCTCAAGTTTAATTATAACTAATGATGATAGAAAATTTTGTTACTTTTTATAATTTTCTTTTGTGAACATATCCTAAATATCATCACAAAATGTAATGTTATGAAAGAAAAAAAATTTAGTTACAAGTAAAATTTAGCATCTATAAAAAAAATTAATCAATTATGGCGAATATTTTACCAGTAACTGATAGTTACTTTGACAATTTTGATTATCACAAATTTATGTTGTTATTGTGACAAATCTTTTTTGACCAAATGTTGGTTTTGCTAAAATTTTACATTCTAATTTTGAAAATTAATATTAGAGACCAATATCTTAAATTAGTCACAACATACAGGATATTAATGACAAATTAAAAATCAATCACTATTTTTATCAGTTAAATTCAATAAATAGTCTATTAACTATGTAATTTATTTCAATTTAGTCTACAAACAATATTTTCTTTCAAAATGATCTATAAATTATTAATTTTGTTTCAAAATGATTTACTTGACAAACATTCCAGTAACTAGACTAACTAGAGGGGAGTTGGTATAGACAAGCTGCTATCTAAACTTTTGAAAAATATTAAATATAATACATATATTTTTATTTTTGACAACAATTTGTTTTTGAAATTCAAATTTTTTATCAAATGTAATAATTAATTAAGATAAAATTTTAATTTACATTAATTAAGATTCTAATTTTAATTTACAATAATCAACATTATAATTTAAATTTTAT